TTACACCCTTAACACAAATTTTAGTTTTAGACCTAGGAGTCCTGGTGGACCACGAGCCAATAATGTGCCATCGCAGCCAACAAGGCGAATGGCGTCCTGGGATCCATTAAGAAGAGTGTGGCCAGCAGGTAAAGGGAGGTTATCATCGCCCTCTACTCTACTCTGGTGAGACCTCACCTGGAGTACAGTGTGCTGTTCTGGGCTCCTCAGTTCAAGAAGGACAAGGAACTACTGGAGAGGGTCCAGTGCAGGTCCACTAAGATGATGAGGGAATTGGAGCATCTACCATATGAGGAAAGGCTGAGAGAGCTGGGTCTGTTTAGCTTGAAGAAGAGGAGGCTGAGGGAGGATCTCATCAATGCTTATAAATATCTAAAGGGCAGGTGTCAGGAGGATGGGGCCAGACTCTTCTCAGTGGTGTCCAGTGACAGGACAAGGGGCACAAACTGGAAAACAGGAGGTTCAGCCTAAACATAAGGAAATACTTCTTTACTGTCAGGGTGACGGAGCACTGGAACAGGCTGCCCAGAGAGGTTGTGGAGTCTCCTTCTCTGGAGACATTCAAGACTCCCCTGGACACATTCCTGTGTGATCTACTCTAGGTGATCATGCTCTAGCAGGGGGGTTAGTCTAGGTGATATTCAGATGTCCCTTCCAACCCCTACCATTCTGTGATTGTGTGATTGCTGCCTCTTAGGAATGCCTTACATGAGCCAATTCCCGAAAGGTTCCTGTGACTTGTTTCCAAGCATATTATATGACTTGGGCCAAAAACAGCAAAAGACTACGTGATAATAGTTTAGCATTAGACAGAATTTGGTTTCATTTCACCTGAGCATGTTCCCAGGCAATGTTTATTTTTCAGCTATAAATACAGTCAAGTTCATTGTAATTCCTTTCCCAGAAATACATACTGATACTACAGCTTCCTTTTCTAGACTGCGTCAACGCTGAATCATTTTTCAAACTACATGAATCTGTGGTTTGGATTAAGCATTTAACCCTTCAGGTACATGTCATGGGTCTAGAACAGCATGCCCAAGCTTGGCATTGGATTTTGTTGTAACATTGGCATTACACAGATGTCATGAGAGACATAAAACTAAACACAATACTATATTTGTCTATATGTTCTTCCTTGGTTTGTTTTCCTGATGATCAGGAATATTCTGGAGGAGTAGAACAGAGCCCACAATCCTACTGTTTTATCTGTGTTTTAGATTATGATCTCGGAGAAAACAGAGAATGCGTGTGTATATTCCTTTGTTTTTGTTTCTCATTATTTAAGTTTTGTGGGTTTTTTAAAATGATTCTTTCTGGCTGCAGTAACCTCTAGCTGCCTTTGTCAGGGGAGTACTTGATCAGTGTGATAGTTTCAGTTTTTTGGTTGATGTAACTCCTCCTCCAAATAATTCAGTTAGTTAGTTGCTTAGCTACTTGAGCATTTGGATTTTGAAAACCAGTTTGCTCTGAATTAAAATAACTTTTGTGGAAGGGTTTTTCATTTAAACAGATTCTTGTCAAATATCTGCTCTTACTATCTTTGTGCCAGCCAGTACTTAGGGCTTCAGTCCAAGACAAAGGTAGAGAGAGAATACAGGCAGACAAGGTCAGTCAAAATGGAAGCTTTCAGTTTGACACAGTCTAATAAAATTTCAGAGTTCACTGATATAATTGCAAAAAAATTTCTTAAGATTACTGCAGTTGAAACAGATTTATGGTATAGATTCCCTCCTTCTTAATCTGATTTCCTTCAGACTTCCAGAGTTTGGTGTTCAGTCTCTCTTGCTGATTCAGACCGCAAATCAGCAACTGGCACTGCTTGTGTCAGGAAAGAAAATGAGAAGGGATGCCTTGTAACTCACAGATTTTAATTGCAGAGTTAATATAATACAAATTTATGAATTTCACCCTCCTTACCACTGCACAGAAACTATATGTGAAAGCGTACAGTTTCTAAAGTTTCTCAATAATGTGAAGAAATTTGTGTATATGAAGAAGTTGAGCTAGGACCTTAGCCTGTCAGTGAAATTCACAGAATTCTAGTTTGTTTAAAAAAATATAGAGGAAAGACACTGAATTCACTGTGAGTCTCAGGGTTTTTCCTAAGTCTGTTAGGACACTTCCCTGGGAAGTTCAAATTCTCACAGAAGTATGGACTAGCCAAACTACTGGAGCTTTGGTGTCCTGCGTGAATGCTCTGATCATAAGGCTACTGATCATGCACCTCCTCTAGAATTCACTGCTGCTGGAAGACCCTACTTCTAGTTTTGTCCCAAAATAAACTGTAATATATCTTGCACTGTACCATGTCTGCGTTGTAAGATACATTGAGGCAGAATGTAGCCAAGATGCTACAATGCAGAAATAGGTTAAAAATTAGTTTATGTGTCCGTACCCACTTCAGCAATTATTTCTGAACCATACCATGCAGAATAAGGAGTCACAGGCTTTATCTCTTGCCACAGTTGAAAACTGACTAGAAGAATGTTATTCTGAAGCAATTTGAAAGGAGGCAGGAGAAGGTTTATTCATCTTCTGGCTTTTAATTCTCTAAAGAACACTTAGCAAATGTTTTCCAAGCGTTTTTTTGTTTGTTTGTTTGTTTACTGTGAATACTTCTTTAAAAAGAAATATTTTCTTTTTAAATAGATGAGATTTTAACATAATCCAAATAGTCCATAGATTGGTGCTTTATTTAAGCTTCATATATTGGAGCTCTCACAGATAGTGTGAGATCTATCATAACATTGTGAAATTTGTTTGGAGTTCCCAGCCATGTCTTTCAGTTACTTAAAACATAACAATATGAGACAACTAAATGTTAGAGATCCAGAATCAGACTCAAGGGAAGATGATGTAATAATTCATAACAGATTTTGACATTCAAGGTTAATATTAAAACATTTTTTTATGCTGTGTCTGTGGTCTACTTTCTTCTTACACGTAGTATTACTACAATGAACACAGGTTATAATTAATAAAATAAAGGAAACAACTACTCTAAGTAATAAAAATAAACAAATTTCTGCTCACTCAAAGGTGTTTCTCACTGTGGAGGTTCCCTAAAAGTCCATATCAGAAATTAGGAATACTGACCTTTTTAAACTATGCTTAGATAAATGGATGCACAAATATTGTTATTTTCCCTGTTGGGGATTGCATACTGCAACCACGTCTCAGCCCAATGTGAAGATGAGATTCAGCTGTCTTCCAGTCTGTCCCTTCTCCTGGTCTCTACATAAAGGAAGCTTGACTGTGTCAAGTTGGTAGCAACTGATATGGATGACACCTGGACTGCACCATATAATAATCCTCTAGGTTCATTTAGTGCAGGTTTAAATGCTTACATGTGCTGAAAATATTTCTGTGCACACTAATGTCACTGTTAATCTCTTATGTCATTTATGGGGGAATATAAATTGGAAATAATTTAAGATTGTAAGGTTTATATATATATTAAAAAACCTGTAAAAACTTGTTTGAGAGCAGAATACTTCATCTGAATTTACTGAGGCTTTTGAAATGAGGTGCCAAATAAAAGTCCTGAAGTGTTCTGAATAGAGATGTCTATGATTCTCCATTTACTATTTTCACTGTGGCTGTTTATATAGTTGAAAGGAAGAAAATAAATTAGGTCACTGAAACTGTGGTGTTCTAATTAACAAGATTCAAAAAGGAAAGCAAGTTGATAAAGTGAGGCAAAGCATGACTATGTAAAGTAAATTACATTTCTATTAAGTAGAGTATGAAAGTGCTACTTTAATGCCTAAAATGTCTAGAAAAGAAATCAGCATAACAAGGATAGACACAGCATTCATGGTTTCCTTAGTCATATGCTGATGGTGCAGTGTACGATGTCAGGGAAAACTTATGGTGCTGAAAAAAGGGCACATTTTTAGGTGCTTTTCATTTTCACTTAAGGGACTGAAAGCTTTGAGCAAGATTGGCACTGCAAGTTGTTACAAGTTTAACTAGCTCCAGAAACCATTTTTATTAATTATTAGAGATTATCCTAGGGAGAAAGGGAAGGGAGAAAATGGCTAGAGTAGCAGGAATAAACCTCAGAAGAGGCAAAATGGTTCTTACTTAAAGAGACTAATATAAGCACCTTGTGTAATGAAGTCATTGTGGGCAGTGGAATAATCTTTTTTCCTAGCTCATAGGCATATGATGATAGTCACACATGTGACAGGTTACGCCTATTAAGTGACCAGAGGCCACTGTCATCTAGTCTGTATTACCTGACGATGGCACAGCACCAGACAGATGCACAAAATGTGTATTTGTAAGTACATAAAAGAAAGACAGCAGTGGTTAGGTATTCTAAAACCTCTGAAGCTGTGGTGTTTTCCTCAGACTTCTCTCTTCTGTATTGGCTGCATTCCATTTGCAGTGGTCCTACTGTGTCACATCAACCTTGCAGAAAACAGACGTTGTGTAAAAAGTGAATTAGGCAAGTGATGGAGATCTCTGGAGGGACGTATGTACAGTGGAGTGCGGTAATGCACTCACAGGGACGTTACAGAAAGCAGAACAAAAGGACAAGGGTGAGTGAGTCTAATCCAGGGCCTGGGTCATGTTTGGCTCTGTCAAAATGGAAGCTCTTGGAGTTCTGCTCAGCAAAATTACAGTGCCTAGACAGAGTGGGTAAGTATATTCATGTGAAAGCAGTTTACAGCCTTTTTTTTGTTTGTTTGTTTGATTTCAGTAGAGGCCTCTACTTCAAACTGCTTTTACTATATCTGTGTCAATTAGGAAGAGACATTGAAAATGGTTTGGTTTTAGGAAGATGAGAAAATATGGTTGCTAGGCCAAGTAATCACTGTGCTGTACTTTTTCCAGATGCTCTTTGTTTGGAAAGCATTGTTTTATGTCAGGAATATTTATGAAGACACTGAGCTAGGCAACAGCCAAGGATTTGTTTTCCTGAAATTTTCTCTCTTTAAAGGATAGGAATAGAATATATCTCTCCTTATTTGGAATTTTATATTTGAACTATCTTTGTTAGCCTAGAAAAGAGTTTAGTTAAAGCAAAATAAATATTTCTATCCCATCATTTGTGTACAGAGTTCTTTTTAGTTTGACTGTACTGTTGTACATGACCCTTTATCTACAGCCATTCTAGTAACATTAAGAACAGAGATACTCACCGCTTCAGAACAGCTTTTTCATACAATTAAGGACAAATTTTTTTCCTTAATCTAAATTCCTGATATAATGATGCAAATCATTGCTACTATTTGAATACTCCAGTTGCATTTTGCTTGCTTCTTGCAATCCTCTCCGCCTGTCTTCTTCCAGTAAGTGGTTAAAAATGAGTAGTAGTTTCAGAAATGCATTTTATTAAGCTGTTAATACTGTTTTCAGAATTGAAAGGTACATTATGTAAATCCCAGCAGGGTTATTTTTAAAGTGCCAAATGCAGATGTATTTTTTAGTTTTGCATTAATTCATAATGCAAATAAGAGTGATACTGTTAATCTACAACAGTCTTTTGGTTGGGGTACTCATTGTACAAGTGACCTTATCAGTTATTTAGGAGAACTAACACAGTGCCAGTTTGAAGAGTTGGGCATTTATTATTAAAAAAAAAAAAAAAAAAAAACAAAAAAAAAAAAAAAAATCAATATGATACCTGAGATTTGTACAGTTGCTATTGAAAAGTAAGAAATAAGACAGATTTGAGGCATCAGAGTGGGAAAATCTCTCTTGGAATTTTGTTAATGGGAATGTCTTCATTAGTCCATGATTGTTTCTGGGTATTTTATAGCCCTCTGAAATGATAATGTATATGTACTGTACAGTTTTTGTACTTTTTAGTTAATACTTTTATTTTCTATTTCTTTTTTTTTCTTTTCCGATTTACATGTGTGGTTGAGAACAAGCAGTGCAGTATTTCTGTGTTTTGTTTTTTTTTTTTATCTCTCTTCAGGACACAACGGGTTTTAACACCCCGCTTCTCAGACCTCGTGTGATTGGAGAATGGGTTGGCCGTGAAGAGAATGATGCAGACCCGCTGGCTGCTGAGATGCTGCAGCCACCAATACCAAGAAATAAAAATGAGCAGTGGGACAGTGAGGATAGCAGCAGTCCTGGAGGAAGGTGGGATTTTGGTTTGGCCTAGAGATTTTATAATTCGTGAAGCAGAGCACAATGCGGGCTTTTGACACCCCATTTCTGAGAGCAGAGTGCAGGGCTTTTAAATTCCCATGCCATAGTGTGGCAGCATACAGAATAAATTAAAGACATTAATACAAGACTGATTTCTTCTCATGCTTTTATATATTATTAACCTTGTACTCATTTACAATCCCATTGTTTTATTCCCATATATAAAGCTAAGTGTATGTTGACATGATTGAGGACCATTGTGTTATAATTTTATGATGTATAGCTTCATTCAGATACTTCAAACCCTTCTGTCTTTTCAGCAGTTGGTAGTAGCTGTTTGTTAATCTTCTTGACACTTTAGTGATAACATCTGATTTTCTCATTTAATCGAAAGATAGATAAGGGAAACAGTATCTATGTTATTTTTAACAGGACTTCCTAAATTAATCTTCAGTTCTTATACTTAGCGTCTTGGTATTAATAACAGTCCTTTCTCAAAGAGAAAATTGTATTCTCTGCAGTGAATAACTTCTGATGATTTATTGAGCTTGACTGAGGGTGGGGGGGAGTATGTTTGTTTATGTGCTTCAGCTATATGGGAGACATTATCATTTTTACAAAGAGTTCATTTTCCATGATTTAAAGATACCTGTTTGTCACAGAAAGTGAAGTATTCACAGCCATTCTTTAAAAAAGGATTAATGTCTTTTAAGAAAAAAAAAAAAAAAAGCTTGTGCACTGCCTCTGTTAATTGGCTTAAACACCTATGGTTCTCCCTCAACCCTGTAGCCTTTCTCCTTGGTTTTAACTAGTACTCTGACTGCAGCAGACACCTTTTTCTTCCTCTTTCAAGGAAGGCAGAAATTCTCTGCTTTTCCCTTTGAAAAGGTCTGAGGTATTCCTTCACTATATCCTCCTTGTGCCTTCTAGATTGGAATTCACCTCTCTGTCTCAAGGAAACTAGTCTACCACTTGCTGTACTCTTACAGGCTGCATTCATCAGCTTACCTCACATGCTGGGAAAGTTTGTTATCAATGAGTACTTCTTTCTTCTTTTAATTAGGTTATTGTGGGGGAAGTTGCAAGTACTACTATTTTCAAAGAAGTAGCAGCATGTAATAATGATCCTTCAGCCAGACATTGGACTGGAACCAACAGAACTCAGACACTGGGTCTCTCCAGTGCAGTTCCTGGGAAAGTAATGGAGTCAGCAACTGGCACTGCAGCTTGATTGTGAGGGCCTGGGTTTCTTTTTCCTTATTCAGCAGTCCAATAAAGACACTGAATAAAGATCTGTTCCACATTGCAGAGCAAATTGAGGATATTGTATCCCTCCTTTCAATAGGAAGGAGCAGAAATAAGCATCTCCGTCTAATCTCTAGAAGGGAGCAAATAGGTTTAGTTCTAAGTAACAAAGATGATTCAAAGCAGCGTATTTTTCTCTTTGTAGAGGGTGGTATAAGCTGTGAGAACCTCACAGCTAATGCTATAATTAAAAACTGTGATTAATGGCTTTGAGAATAGTATTTGAGGAGTCTTCTTGAGTATCATGACAAAATCACATTGCCTGGCTATGAAATAAGGAGAATATGGAGTACTTGATGCCAGAAAAGATTCATGGGACACTGATATCTCTAATTTTTTAGGTGCAGTTAAGTGCTGAAGACCTGTTGAAAAATACATATCATTCTGTGGGAACACTGATTTTCAGTGGAAATGAATAACTACTAAATTACATGCAGCATATGGATTTACATGTGGATGACTGATTTTATGTCTGGGATAATTCTTTGCTTCATTAGCATTTCATTAGCTTTTGTAAGGCATTTATAAAAAGCATGTTTGCAGTCTTGCAAAATAACCATAAACTTGCAGAACTTCAGGATAGTGGTGATACTAAAATTGATGCCATGTACATATATATGGAAGTTTAAAAGAACTGTATTGATCAAGGTTAATTTGAATGTCTAATAATAGTTCACTAATAACAGGCAGTTTCTCTGGTGTCTGGTTAAGTGTTACTGGGAGTTAAAGTACTGTTAGCAGAATTTGGAATTGACTATACACCAAATGCATGAGACAAGTAATAGGTAATAATAATTTAGTTTTAATATAGCATATGCCTAGTACATCCAAAAGTAGGGGGAATAGTATGAGTTTTATGAGATTAAAAGATTAAACTCTCAATGACATTGTTATCAGTTGTAAAGAACTTTTGGCTACCTCATCTGTATTTCGTTCATCTGCTTCATAGTTAATGTAGCCTAAAATAATTCAGTTACATTTTTACCTGACAAATGGAAGAGGGAGCAATTTGAAATGCACATTAAATGTTTCTATTTATATCTTGTTAAATTTGATTTAACAATACTTTTAATAAAAAGTGATAGTTTATTAATCACTAATTATCAGGATTTATGTGATAAACCAGCGAACTCAAAACTTACCCTAATCTTCAGTTACAGCCTAAGAACAGGAAAGTGAAAATTGTAATTGTCCCATTATTTTCAGGTAATATGTTTTCTTTTACTTATCACTAAACATAAGGAAATGCTACATAAATGAAATAATATATAAATATCCAGAGGATTAGGCACTGACAGATCACTGGTAGAGTAATTGCCATAGTGTCATGTGACTCCCCCTTTTTGTGTTGAGACCAAAGCATACAAGTTTTTTCCTCTTTGATGGAAGGGAAAGCCCTGAGTCCTTACACATTCATAGCATTCTATAGGGTACTGAGTGGGCTGCAGAAAACAGCATATTCCTATGGACTACTGGTCTGTTGATAACATGCCAGTGGTTTCAATATTCATCTTTTCAGCATAAAGTAGATCATAGTGAGTATACGTAGTACATGATATTTGGGAATCAGCGAGTTGTCTGCTTTTTCTGTCTTTGCAACCACGAACCTCACTTTTTGATCTATTCAGTAGTGGACAGTGGGAAAGAACCACTATTTCCTCCTTAAATACATACATTCCTGTGGTGATGAGCAATGGAAGGACACGTATATCTGAAAGCCAGGCCCAGTTACTTGAAAAAAGAAGGAGAATTAATTTTGAGCAACGGAAAGGACAGGTTTCACTACTACTTTCACTGGGAAAGATAGTGAACCAGTCTAAGGTAGCTGTATTAGTGATGTCTTGTGAAACTGATGAAGGGGTCACCTTTTTGCCCTTAATGTTCTGGATTGCTAGAGAGGAAAGACTGTATTTGTCACTGGTTTTGTACTGCTCTCTGTTGCTGCTGTATGGGAGAAAGGCAAGGTATTAATACGTGATAAGGGATCATATAAAAGTGCTGGCAGTCCTGCTGGTACTGAGCTCATCTTTCAGAAATTCGAACACCGTGAAAATAGGATTAAACTCATTTCCAAGTCATTGTTAGTTGTTTTCTACATGAGAAATTTCTTTTAGTATGATGCTCTTGTTTCTTAGAGCCCAAAATGAACTAGAGCTTCCAAAGGCCTCATCCATAAACTGATGTCTTAAACTCAAAACCCATTTTTCATCTCCAAGGTCCACTTTGTCTTATTAGTTTATCTTTGCAGTGGGAAATGAGCTGTCATTGATTATACTAAATTTCATATAATTGCAACAGATCTGCCTTCCTGCATGTCCTGGTTTTGGCTGGGAGATAGAGTTCATTTTCTTCTTAGTAGCTAGACTAGCACTGTGTTTTGGATTTAGTGTGGGATTTGGTGTAAGAATAATGTTGATAATATACTGATGTTTTTAGTATGTGGGATCAATGGTTCCAGCATCTTTTGTAGCCTGACGCTGAGAGTCATTGAAATAGGCTGGTACAGTCACTACAGCGTTAGTAATGGTCTTCCCGAGATATGCTTCTGCAATTTCCTTCATTTTGGTTAAAACCATGGAAGAAATTTCTTCTGGGTGGAAACTCTTTGTCTCGCCTTTGTACTCCACCATCTAGGCGATTCCGTGACTTTCCAAATTCCCATGTTTTGATAGTCTGCGGGTGCAGTAATGGATCCAAACTGGTATTTTCATATGATACGATATAATCTCATGTTTAGTGTGTAAATGAGGTTTGGCTGGAATACACTCTCTCGATCTTCTGGGATTGTGGTTTTGTTTCAGGATTTTCACTCCTCTGGGACTGCTAGCCGGGAATGGGTTGGGCATCAGTTAGCAGGTGTTGAGCAATTGCACTGTGCATCACTCATTTGTATATTCTGTTACACTATTATTATAATTGTTATTGTCATTATTTTTTAAATTTTATTTTATTTCACTTATTAAATTGTTCTTATCTCAGCCTATGAATCTCCTTACCTTTACCCCTCCAATTCTCTCCCCTGTTCCACCAGGGCAGGGGGGATAGTGAGCAAGAGGCTGTTTGGTGTTTGGCTGTCAGCCAAGTTAAACCATGGCACTGCAACAGAGTGCAAGGCAGTCTGCGGTGGTACTGATACCCTCATGTGGGGCACCAAACTTCTGTCCCATTGTCTTTATCTTGCTGTTGTAAGGAATCAGAAATTGCTAACTGCAGTAAGTCCTACCTTAGACTCTTCTGCTGACTTCTGTGCAGTTCCAGTTGTCTATTACTTAGGTTAGGAACACAGGTCAACAAACTATGAGAACTTATATACCTATATAGTCCTTAATCCTATGGGGTCATGATAACATAACCACTCAAGGGAGCAATTCTTTGTTGTCAGCTTTGTTGCTGTGCGATCAGTGCCTTAGCAATACTGATGAGTAATTAGCATCCTGTTGTCTGTATATGTAGCTTATTTAGACTTGATTAATGCCCATAAAGTCAATGGGAAATTTCCCGTCATCATTCAAGCAAAACTTTAGGTAGGAACTGAAAACACAAACTGACTTATAACATCCAATGATCAGAGAATGAGTGATAACCTGCTGGTTTCTATGTGATCTGATGGCTTTACCTTCAGATCTGGAGGACATCATGGGCTACTAATTTACAAATGCGTGACATATTTTGTAGAGAGCACCAGTAAGAGCAAATTATGCTTTCCTCCCTCACAGCTTAAAAATGGAGCCAAAGACCAAAGGACTAAAACAACAACAGCAGCAACATAAGAAACTGCTGGCTGCCATGCTTTCTCAGGACTCCTTTGATTCTGCTCACAGCACAGCTCCATCTGTCACTGAAGAAGATATTGACAATGAAGATGATGCGATGGAACTGCTCGGTAACTGCAAAAAATTATGTGTATTTTCTGATATATTTTTATTATAGATTAATCTAAAAAGTGCCATATCCGATCAAACATACATTACTTTGGAACTGCTCCCTATGTTTGAAGCTAAAGTATCCAGCAGCTGTGTGAAGGTTCATAGAGTTTAACTTGCAACTTTCAGGAGTGAATGTAATGAAGATTGTGTATGTATGTGAATAAACTACCAGCTGAATCAAAATCCTGTGAAATAGCAAACGCTTCAGTTGCTTAAAGTAATTAATTTGATTTCCTACATAAATCACTTGCGGGTTCTACTTAAAGAATATGTTTATGTACAATGAGCAGAATCAGCTTCAGTGGTGTTCATCTGGTTCTTCTTTTCTTAGCTGTATCACAGTTCTAACTTCAGTGGGTTTTATTTGAGACTTACTAGCTACAAATAGCATATGCAGTGTGAATTTTTAAACTCTCCAGAGGATTTGATTGTAGTTTTCCAATAGACTGTATTCTATTGCACTCTAGATGGCTCTATGCTCACTGCCTCCTCCCTTTCCTAGAATTACTAGTTGTGAAAGGAGGGAAATTGTTGAAGAAAGTTAATTGTCTCTTTACTGACATTTTTAAAAGCTTCAATGTAAGATGCTTAAAAGGTAGTAATGGATTTCATTTTTTTTCTCTCCAGTTTTTGCTACGTAGAACTTTATGTGGGATCAAAGCATGGGAAATACACAATCTCAGCATAGCTCAGCATTCTTATATTTACGAATTCTATCACAAATTATTTGTTTCAGGTTGGGCCTTAATCTAAAAATCAGAGAAACACATGGTGCTCTACTCTGTTTCTGTTATATTTCTGTTCTTTCATTATTACGGTCTTCATAGAATCACAAAATAGTTGAGGTTGGAGGGGACTGCTGGAGATATCTAGTCCAACCCTGTGGTGGTTTGACTGACAGTGGAACCATGCGGTCCTGCATTCACTCCCTGCACCCAGTGAGATGGGATGGGAGTCATAACAGAAGGGGCACGGGATTAGGAATGAAGGACAGGGGCGGCTCACTCACCAGTTATGGTCATGGGCAAAATAGACTCAACTTGTGGAAGAAAAATCAATTTAATTTGTTGCAAATCATCTGAGTAAACATAATAACCACATCTTATACCTTCCCTCCACCCCTCCCTTCTTCCCA